AACCTGAGTGTGACTAGCAACAGGCATTAAATCCCTTAGTCATCTCTGGATTATTATCAACAAATATTTTTAATCCCTTGTTTTAATATTTAAAAGCTCTTGGTTAAATACTCCTTATTTAATTAATCCCCCTATTCACTTTTGTGCCAGTACTCTGCCAGCAGAAAGTTTGGAGATAATTTTGCATATATGTGGTGAAAATATTCAGAATATTAAAGTTTGTAAGATGTATAAAGTAGATTTCCAAAGTTAATTTAATTATTCACTGTTTGATTAATGTTTACAACTCCAGTATCACATTAATACCTAGTGCTCTTATGTAGTTTTTGTATTTACTCAGTTCACACTAAACATAAAAATTAACTGAAACTGATTAATAGACATCAGGTATAATAAATAAAACATAGGAGTAAGTCTTCATGCTCTGGGTTAAACAAGTCATTCTAAGATATGACACCAAAAGCACGAGCAACAAAAGACAAATTAAGTGAACTAGACTTCTTGGCTTCAAAAGGACACCAGTAAGACATTGAACTATTTGTATACCTTATACGTAAACAGTCCTAAATGTCTGTTATATCTTAACAAAGCGGAGGGGAAAAGAAAGTGAAAAGACAGCTCTCACAATGGGAGAAAATTACAAGTTATGGTGCCTCCCTGGTGGTGCAAGGGGTTAAGACACAACCTATGAAGCAATCCGCAGCCACTGCAGCTCCATCCCCAGGCCAGCCAGAAAGCAACCCACATGGCACAGTAGACCTCTCCTGACTTGCCCACTGCTCCCCTCAGCAATGTATTTCAGTTAAGAACATTTTTAAGTCAATAATGGGAAGATGAGTGACCCAACCTCAAAAGGGACAAAGGATCTGTTTTTTAATTATTAAAAATAAATTGTATGTATATATATGTATATATTATATTATATATATATATATTTACATTGTTATTCAATTTTGTACAAGTCTTGATTTCTCCTCTCAGGTGTAATCTCCCTAAAATTCCCTCTACCAGGTCACCCGTAAACCATCACCATAGTCTCTTGTGCTCTTCTCTCCCGTTTTTTTTTTTTTTTAAAGATTTATTTATTTATACAAGCACTGGGTACAGTCAGAAGCGCAGGAGGGTGAGAGAATTCACCAGAGCCAGTGCAGGGAGCAGAACAGGCAGACTGATGAAATACACTGCTGAGGGGAGCAGCGGGCATGACAGGAGAGGTCTGTGCACCATGTGGGACCCTCGCCAGCAGCCGGGGATGGAACCAGCACTGCAGAGGCTGCAGGCAGCTTTGCAGCCCAGCGAAGAGAGGGAGGCCCTTCTCCTCTGTTTTGATCCCTCTGCCTCCCCCTACCCCTTGCATGGTTTCCTTATATACCTCCTATAAGTGAAACCATGTGCTATTTTTCTTCTTCGAAAGAGCAAAGGATCTGAATAAACATAACTCTAAATAAGATATACAAATGGCAAATAAGTACATGAAAAGATGCTCAGCATCATTAATCATCATAATAAGAAACCACAATAAAAAATTCATATGGAATTGCAAAGTTATTTGTCGATATCAATTGTCAATGCAAAAGCTCCCCACACTGACAAAGTAATCTTGAGCACTTTGAGAAAGAACAAAGCTAGAGGCATCACATCCCCAAATTTCAAACTATGTTACGAAGCTGTTAAAATCAAAATAATATGGTACTAGCATAAAAACAGACACAGATCAATAGAACATAATAGAGAACCCCAGAAATAAACCCATACATATGTGGTGAATTAATTTATGACAAAGCAGATAAGGACATACAGTGGGAAAAGAAAATTTCTTCAATTAATGGTGCTCAGAAAACTGGTCAGACATCACTCTCTCACACCATACATAACATTAACTCAAAATGGAGCAAGTTAAAGCCTAACGCCATGAAATTAGAATAAAACACAGACAATAAACTCCTCAGCATCAGTCTCATTTTTGCACTGATTTTTCATTTTGCCACCAAAAGCAAAGGCAGTGGAAGCCAAAACAAATCATTGGGATTCCATGAAGCTGAAAAGCTTCTGTGCAGCAATGGACACCATTGACAAAGTGGAAAGACACCATACCTATGGAACGGTAGAAATATTTGCAAATCATAAATCTGAGAGGAGATTACTATCCAAATAATATAGAGAACTCTTACAACTCAGTGACAGAAAACCAAATAGCCAATTAAAAAATGGGTAGGGGATCTGAATAGACATTTTCCCAGAGAAGACATAGAAATGGCCAACAGCGGATAAATGAAAATGTGCTCAGAGTCGCAAATCATCAGGGAAATGCAAATAAAAACCACAATGAGATATGATTTCATACCTGTCAGAACAGCTGTCATCAAATAGACAAGAAATACCAAGTGTTGGTGAGGATGTGGAGACAAGGAGACCTCGCAGTTTTGTTTGTGGGAACGTAAATTGGTACAGCTACTGTGAAACAGCATGGTGATTTCTCAAAAGATTAAAAATAGAACAACCATATAAGCCAACAATTCCACTTCTGTGTATTTGGCCAAAGGAAATGAAAACACTGACTCAAAATGATTTATGCTTACCCCATGTTTATTGCCATATTATTTACAATAGCCAAGACATGGAAACTCTCTCTTTCTCTCTCTCTCTCTCTCTCTCTCTCTCTCTCTCTCTCTCTGTGTGTGTGTGTGTGTGTGTGTGTGTGTGTGTGTATGCGTAATCTATACATACTCTGGAATATTATCCAGTCACATAAAAAAGGAAATCCAACCATATTTGCCAACATGGTTGAACCTAGAGGGCATTATGCTAAGTGTGATAAGTCAGACAGAGAAAGACAAATAGTGTATGTTATCAATTGCTAGAGGCTGGTTGTTGAGTATGGGTGAAGGATATCAAAAGGTACAAACTTAAACTTACAAAAGAAATCATGGGAATATAATGTACCTCATTATAATATTGTCTATTTAGAAACTGCTTAGGGGGATCTTAAAAGTTCTCCTCATAAGAAAAAAGTTCTAACTACGTGCTGGTAGAGATTAACTAGACTTAATGTGATTAACTAGACTTATTGTGGTGATCGACCACTTTGTATTATAGGCATCTATCCAATTGTCATGTGTACACCTGAAAATAGTGTTTTATGGCAATTATATCTTAATTCTTAAAAAGCCACAGTGAGATAACACATCACACCCACTAGAATGTCTATAATCAGAAAGACAGGTCACAAAAAGTGTAGTATAGTTTGTAAAGAAATTGAAATCCCCAGTCACTGCAGGTGAGAATGTGAAATGGTGTAACCACTTTAGAAAACAGTCTGGCAGTTCCTCAAAATGTTAAACATAGTGTTAGAAAATGGCTCTTCTCCTACATGTATATCCAAGAGAAATGAAAATATGGTGTGTGACTATAAAAGACCACCTGTAATCTGAGTCCATGAAATGCCAGTATAAGTAGGTGCAGAGAAACAGAAAGCAGATTCATGGCTGTCAGGATGGAGATGGGGAGATAGGAAATTATGGCTAATGGGTACAGATATTCTTTTGGGGGTGATGAAATGTTCCAGATATGATGGTGGTGGTGATTGCAAAATGCTGTGACTACTGCAACCACTGAGTCATAAACTTTGAAAGAGCAAATTTTACACTATGTAAGTTTTATTACATTATGTTATTTGAAAAGAATAAAATAGCCGCCCCTCCCCCATTTTGCTTTCTTGTCTTTAAAAGATTGTGGGTGAGACATCCTGTTTTGCTATTTCATCATGTGGCTGATGACCCAAGTGGCATGGGTCTTTGATCCCTACTCAGAGGCCCACATGACCTGAGTTACCTGGTGGTCAGAGGGGCCTAAGGAGCAGTTGCCCAAGTTCCCTGGAGATCTGTGTGCAGACAAGGCCACTCAGGGGAAACTCAGCATTGGATGATCATGAGGGCCAACAATCTCACTCACCCTAAAAAAGATTTTACCAGGTGAAGGTTAAGATCACTCACCAGGCAGCAGGGAACCTTGTTTGATTTGCACTGCTGTGTTTGACCTGTGAGCAAATAAATGACTAAGACCTTCCGCCATATTCTCTTACAAAATTTGAATATTAGATGATGATGATTATTATTATTACCTCCTGTTCTTACAAATCACTCAGTTCAGTATGCATTATCATCTTGCTGTATTCACCATCTCATAATTAATAGACTTCATATATGTGTACTATACATAAGAGTCATTCTTTTTTTTTTAAGATTTTTTTTAATTTATACATACAAGAACTGGAGTGTAAGCCAGAGGTGTGGGGGTGAGAGGATTCATCAGGGACAGAGTGGGGAGCAGAGCAGGTGGATCTACTGAAATACCCTGCTGAGGGGAGCAGCAGGCGAGACTGGAGAGGTCTGCTGAGTCATGTGGGTCGGCCCCCTGGCCGGGGATCGAACTCATGCCACAGTGGATGGCAATAGCTTGATAGTGCTGAAACTTTAACCCCTGTGCCACCAAGGAGGACCAACAGTCATTCTTATGTCTTCATTAAAAATATAGCATTACACTATCATTTTTAAAATCAAGTCTGTCCTAAAGCTTATTTCTCAAACTGCATAAAAAGCACCTGGAACTCATTAAAAATGTGGATTTTCTAGGTCCCCCCTACTGAGAGGGGTTTATACTGAATTGTTAAGGAACACCCTAGATGATTCCTAGGAGCAGGGGCAGTGAGTTACACTTTGGGAAGCACTCTTCTAGAGACTTCTAGAATTTGGAGGTAACACGTGTGGTTATAGTAGTCTTCATGCTAGCTTAGATTATAGGTGTTTCTGGAGGAATTTTCCAGCCACTTGATGTTAGAAATAGATGTCATCCACACTCTCATTCTCTACGAGAAAATACTGTTTCCTCCCAGACATAACATCTCAAAAAGTGTGAAATTGTAAAAAGTCTTGGTTACTCCTGTCAACCTCTTTGTTGCTGTTCCCCATTAACACAGTGATGTCTTTACCTACTGTTTGCAGATTTCATTTGACCTGGCTGAATACACTGCAGATGTGGATGGAGTCGGCACTTTGCGGCTTCTGGATGCAGTCAAGACCTGTGGCCTTATCAACTCTGTGAAGTTCTACCAAGCCTCCACCAGTGAGCTTTATGGGAAAGTGCAAGAAATACCCCAGAAAGAGACCACTCCTTTCTATCCTCGGTCCCCTTACGGTGCGTATGCTCTTTGCCTGTGTGCCCCATGGGCATGGGCTGTGCACGTGGGTTTCTGCTTTGATTCTGTTCGTGTCTCATGGCTGAAGTCATTTAGGTTTGAAGTGAACGTCAAGATAGACTGAAGTGACCAGACTCTTGAGAAGCAGGATTTGCTGCCATTGCCTCAGGGCGAAGTTGCCACCTCCCTTCACCAATCCCTGGTCACCCAGCCCTTCCTCCAGAGCACTTAAAAGGAAGAGCATAAATAAATAAATCTTAAAAAAAAAAAAAAAAAAAAAAAGAGCAGACCCTACACCACTTTTTTTTTTTTTTTTTTTTTAACCTGCTGATGTGAGACTGTGCTGAAGTGGCAAGGTTTTATGTATTTTACTCTCCCAATCTAAGTTTTCCTGAGCTTAAACCCTTAAAAATCAAAACAAAGCAGGTTTATGAAAAGTATCCTTAAAAGGCTTCAGAGATAAATTTCAAAATAACACAATATTAAGATTCCATATTTTTCACTGATTCCTTAAACCTAAGACAGAGTGACTAAGACTAAGAAAGGTCAGTTTGATATATTGTACATGCTACTGTTGGGTCCATTAGATTTCAAAGAAAGAACCGTAGATTTACTTTCCAGTAACCTCTGTGTACAAGATTAACTGTCAAAGGAGCCTTTATTTTGTCTTTGACTTTCATTGACTTTTCTATCTCGATATTTGAATTGACTTCTGCAGTTTGTTACTTGTTTATAAGATGCATGAAAAGCACTGTCTTTCATAACAAACTTCATTTGCTTTTAAAAAATTATTTCAACAGGGGCAGCCAAGCTCTATGCCTACTGGATTGTGGTGAACTTCCGTGAGGCATATAATCTCTTTGCAGTGAACGGCATTCTCTTCAATCATGAAAGCCCTAGACGAGGTTAGTAAAACTATTAATGGAAAAGAGACCTTCAGATTTAACAGCAACCAAAAAGCTGGATATGCACTCTGCAAATGTGCCATGTAGACTGGGAACTTTTCCATCTATTTTTAACTGTTGTGAACGTCAAAAACAGTAAATGAAGAAATACAAATCCAGCTTCAGTTAATTACTACATTTGTTAGGTCTTTTAGTCAACAACAACAAAAAAATACCAAGTGTTCCAGTTTGACCATTTTCCTTGCTATATCGTATAAAGCATGTTTTCAAGCTCAGTATCTTTATAGTTTCCATATGAATGTAAGAGCATGAGCAGCAAACCAGTGTTTGTTTCTGAAAGTCACTCTTCACATCGTCTCACTTGACTCACTTGGCCATTCAATATTCTTTCTTTGCATTGCATTTAAGCAGATACCCAGAAATTACTGTGCTTTGAGAATATTTTTTTAAATATTTGAAATATCAATTCTTATATTTAGGATCATCTTATTCCTTTCCCCTCCCGCAGAAAACCATATTGTTTGCATTAACTTGTTGCTTTTTCGTGTTGTAATCAAGACTGCTAAGACATGCACTATCAAATACTAGCTTGTAAGGAAGAAAATGTGTACTGTCATCGTTACTTCTGATTTACTGGAGCATGAGAAGTCTTTACTAAACATACACACTTTTCCAATTCAGAATCACACAATTGAATTCTAGGAACTTGTATTAATTTCACGATCACTTAGCCTTTTAGCTTGAGAATAAACAAGAAGTCCAGCCTTCTGAGTTGTTTTATGCCCAATAACTAGCAATGCTCATAATTTTTTTAAGTGAACTTTTATGTGACTGTATAGCCACATAATTAAACCAACAAGCCATGGGGAAAGATTAAAGTGACAGGTTTACAAAGGTATCTTTAGCCATACATTTTTATTTTATAATTGCGTAAGTTTAAAACTCCCACGATGGGCTGTTAAAGCCTAGGAACTCAGCCTGTCATCTCTGTTGCCCAAAAGGAAAACAAATTAACAAGCAGCCAGAAACATTGCTTTAATTAATTTTGTGGTTCTGGTTTCTTTAGTCAAGGGAAAAGGAAAAGAGCATCTCAGCTGTCCTTGCCCCCTGTGCTGGGTGTGGTGGGCGCTTAGGAGCCGGTTCAGGAGGTGATGAACCCTACCACCCCTTTGGCCACTCACGTACGGTTACAACATTGTTTGGTCTTTATGCTCCCCCCTCAACTCTTCCATTTGAAAAAAAAAAATTCACTTGTCTTGGGTCAGGTTAGGATAGGAAAAGATTATTTTCTTTGTTTTTTATTAATACAAGAGCAGGAGTACAGGCCAGATGTGCGGGAGGGTGAGAGGATTCACCATAGATAGAGTGGGGAACAGAACAGGCAGACTGACGAAATACAGTGCTGAGGGGAGCAGCGGGCGTGACAGGAGAGGTCTGCTTGCCATATGGGTTGCTCCGAGGCCGGCGGGAATTGAACCAGCACTGCAGAGGCTGTGGACAGCTTCACAGCGCTGCGCTCAACCACCTGCACCACCATGGAGGCCCAGGATAGGAAAAAATATTCTTAATAGAATTAAAAGGTAAAATTAAATATAACCACTCCTTACACACACAAAATAGATCCCGTGTTTGCATGCTTTTTTTTTTTTTTTTTTTTTTTTTTTGCTTTGTCCATGTTAATCACTTTTTTCCTTAAAAATTTCTAATTTCAAAAGTAACATTTCTTGGGCCTCCCCGGTGGCTCAGTGGTTGAGCGCTAGGTTGCAAAGCTGACCGCAGTCTCTGCCGCACCGGTTCAATCCCCGGCTGCTCCCCAGCCGCCGGAGGAGGGTCCCACATGGCGCACAGACCTCTCCTGCTGTCCGCTGCTCCCCTCAGCAGTGTACTTCGGACCTTCTGCCTGCTCTGCTCCCCGCTCTGGCTCTGGTGAATTCTCTCACCCTTCCGTGCTTCTGACTGTACCCAGTGCTTGTACAAATAAATAAATAAATCTTAAAAAATAAATAAATAAAAGAGTTGTCATTAAAAAAAAAAAAAAGTAACATTTCTTTAAAAAAATCTTTTTTAGTGAAGTAGCAGTGCATTGTAACAGTGTGTAAATTCCAGATGTTCTTCATTGAGAATCAGCATGTGTCTATACTGTGTCAGATTCACCATAAAAGTCCATATCTGTCCTTCCCCACTCTTGTTCCTTTTTATTTAAAAGAGAAGAGAACCGTGGAGGAGGGTCAAAGGGGAAAGTGGAAGGTCCCTCCCTCCCAGCTCTCTCCTTAAACTCTCCCTTCACAACTGCCCCAAGTGTCCCCTCCCTTAGCTCTGCATCTGTGTCTTTGCTTAAGTGTTTGTTACATACCTGACCTTGTAGCAGACACCACTTTGTTTAATTAAACATGTTAAATCAATGATAATTCATTTATATAATCAAAGAAAAATTTATAGAAGTACATGTGAAGGGGCCTCTCTGGTGGCGCAAGAGGGTAAGCACTGCACTATGAAGCAATCTGCAGTCTCTGAGCACAAGTTCGATCCCTGGCCGGCCAGAGAGCAACCCACATGGTGCAGCAGACCTCTCCTGACTCTCCTGCTGCTCCCCTCAGCAGTGTACTTCGGTCATTCTGCCTGTTCTGTTCCTCACTCTGTCTCTGGTGAATCCTCTCACCCCCCATATCTCTGGCCTGTACCCCAGCTCTTGTATACATAAATAAACATTTTTTTTAAAAAGAGAAGTACATGTGGAAATGAACTAGAGGCATCCAATGTAATACTTGATAAGATATCTGATACTTAATTCTTACAGCATTTCTTGAGACTGGAAAATTAGTTTTCATATTAAATCAGTCAGAGAATTATAATAATGTTTTGTCACAATTAACTGATATTTTCTAAGGAGATTCTTTGCCAGACTGAGAATTTCATTCCCTGATATTAGACTGTGTTGTTCACTTAGCTCAGCAGTACCTACCTGCCAATCCAGTGTTTAGTGGATATTTTTAAATGAGCAAATAAAAGGTCACCTCATGTTTCAGTAAAACTTCACTGACAGGAAAGCCAGGAAGTCTGTTAGATATCAGTAAGAATTTATAAGATACAGTAGTCCCCGCCTTCTCCATGGGGCCATGTTCCAAGACCTCCCACTGGCCACCTGGAACCTCGGACAGTGAGGGAACTTCCCACACACACTGTGCGTTTCCTGTGTGTACAGACATACTTGTGATGAAGTTTGACTTATAAATTAGGCACAATAAGAAGTTAACATCAATAACTGAATAATAGAAAAATGGTAACAGCACCCTGTAATGAAAGGCACGTGTTGTGCTGGTGCTGTCAAATCTTACTATACATAATGTTGTCAGGCCATGTTTACTGCCCGTAACTGAAACCACACAACACAGATTTCGGAGAAGGGGGACAACTGGACAACTGTAGTTTTTACATAAATGTTGTTTTACTGATTGTATGCGTATGGTAATTGAAAGTAACAAACTATTCTGAAATTAAGGTTAAGTCTGATTTATTTGCCTAAAGGATCGAATTCATTTTTACATCATAAGTGTGCATTACCTATCAGTCTTCCTTCGCGCACTTAACACAGGGGAACACACATGGCGTGACAGTGGTACATTTTGAGCTGGTCTAAGGTAGGTCATCACCACACCCAATTAGTAGAGTCCAAACTGATACAGCTTTGGGGGCACATGCACTTTTCCTCTAAGGAAAAAAAAATGACAAAGCCCTTTTGATTGGATGAATCCTATGCACCATGAGCATTTCAGACTAAAAAGTATGGAATCAGTATTTTTCAAAGGAAAGATATTCTACACCACAGGTTGGCTAACTATAGGACTCATGGACCAAAACCAACCCTTCTGCCACTTTTTGTAAACACAGGGTCTCTGGGAAAAGCCACAGCTATTGTTTGCAGACTGTCCCTGGTGGCTCCCACAGCCGTGTCCTGCAAATCCCAATATATTTACTGTCGGGTTCTTTGTGAAGACACGTGCAGGCTATAGCTGCAGGATCTAACTACTGTTAGCTCCTCAACTTCAAGAGCCTTTGAGTGGGGTTTTATATGGGTTTCTCTCAATGGAGCCAGATAAACTTACAGAAAGATTTCCAATATGACAGGGAGTCAACATTTAACCCATCCATAGATAGAATTCCTGAACTATTTTGGTTCAGTGGGGTTTGTGAAGTTTACTGAACTACTTAGACATGGATCCCCATTAACTAAGTCACTGACCAAAGAGCTGAAAGTCGTTCATCCCAGCAACCCTTGCACCTAAGTCTGACCCTTTGCCTTGTGCTTTTGATTGTTTTGTATGTCTTTTCTCCATCCAAGTCCTTTTTAAGAACACTTTCGTTGTGAGAAGTTTGGGAGGCCTCCAAAGACAGGCTTAACTGTGGCTGGCAGGGATCACCACTTGGGATCCTTGTCCAGGCCACAAAGCCCGTCCTCCAGGACATGACCTCTGCTTCCCTCACGCAAACACTAGCCACTCTTTCCGTTATGGCGGGATGACTGCTGAGCTCAAGTTCATTGCTTTTTATAAAATGGAGGCACTGTGGGATGCCACTACACATTCCTAATGAGAGGTGTTTAAAAGTAGAAGTTCATGTTCATGGAGGCTTGAAAATCACATGTATCATCATGTGCTGTGAATCACTATGTATCTTATGTATCCTCCCTTGGCACCCTCAGGGGATGAATCCAGGACTTCTGCAGACAGGAGACTCCCCAGCACTCCAGTCACTCCTGTAAAATAGCACAGTATTGGGTGTGATCTGTACGGGACCCGCTTGTACTTAGATCGTCTCCAGGTTACTTAGAGTACATGGTGAGTGCTGTGTAAACAGTTGTTGTCCTGAGCTCTTTAAGGGATACTCACAAGAAAGAAAGTCTGATCACATCCACACACATGCCCCCGTGATGGACCTCATAGTTCATAGGGAAATATTTTCAATCCAGGGTTGGTTGAATCTGGGCTTGGAGGATCCATAGA